CCACCTCTGCAGGGATTGCTGCTCCTGCAAACCGTCGCAGTAGCTTTGGTGCTCAGCACCACTCCAGGTCAGGGTACACGGTGCAGCACTGCCTTTACCAGGCATCTACCTTATGGATCCAATGCTGGGCAAAGGGCTGATCCCAGCTCCTGTTAGGTCTCAGCACGTCAGTGCTCCTGCCAGTGGTTGCTGCCCTGTACCAAAGAAGAGCACAATTTACACCTAGGACTTCAGCTGAAACCTGGGCATGAGAGCACATGCAGAAGCAATGATTCAGACATCACCAGGAAGCTTATTTTCCTTCCACTAAGTGCCAATAAAGTGCTGCTTCCAGACAACAGCTAAAGCCTCTTCCTTTCCATCCCAGAGCATTGTGGCCTGCTTTGTCAGCAGGGCTTGTCTCATGGACATGGATCATTGCGTAGATGCTAAACTGTGCTTGCAGCACATTAAAGACTTTATTGATGATTTAACAGTTGTGGAATCAGCATAAACCATGGGTGACTTTGACCAATTAAGGGTGATTAATTGATACCTATGAATTAGCTACTATAAGTAGTGATTTACAGGGCTAAGATAATAAATGAAACAAAGTTTTATACGGCATGTAAAAATAATCATAAAAAACTTGCAAACGTCAGATGCTTGCATGAACAAATGGACCTGCCCTGCAGGGGAGTGTGCTGAGGGCCATCTCACAGCAACATATGGATTGGGACTTTGGAGATGAGAGCTCCATGTCTGGAAGGTGTTTCAAAATGCAACATTTACATCCTTCTTCTCTCTCTTAAAATACAGCCTGTTCTTAGACCTGACCTGCAAAAATCGGAGGTTGTACTGCTTCATTTTCTGCAGTTTTTTGTTGGCATTTGGCCTTGGCTTGAACTCAAGGCTGGGCACCCTGGTACTTCTGGGGACAGTGGCACCATGGATCAGTGCAACATGGCCACCCCATACCCCAGAGCCTAAGTTTCATGGATGGTGAAAGCAGTGAATCCCACACCATGCTCTGAAGGATGGGCAATGCCCACTCCCCACAGCAATGGTATCCAACACCATCTGCACCATGTTCTACAAAGCTGGGCCACCCTTGAACACCCGGCACATCACTGGAAAAATATACCCCATGCTGGGCCATGCCTGGGCAGCCGGGGCTCCGTGTGCCAGCCAGGATCCACTGTTGGCACAGCAGTTGGGGTCTGTGCATCCTGCTGGTGCTGGCATCCCCTCCCCAGCCCCAGAGGAACCAAATCCCCCGTCCTGCACTGGGGAGCATGGGCACTGGCTCACCCAGGGAGCAAAGCAGGAGGTGCAGGGCAGCCCCCACCCACTGTGCCTGTCCGGCGCCTTGGGCATGCTCTGTCCCCCTGACACACCCCCAACACCGCTTTGGTGGCCCTGCTTGTCTCTCCTCCACACACTGCTCTTGCTCGCACGCCATAGCCCATGGGGCCACCTCAAACTTAGTGTTGTACCTGATGCAGGGAAGCAACGCTCCAACACCTCCAAGGTGGGGGTGAGGGCATCCTTCACCATGTGCCTCAACTGATGGAGCCAATGAAGGGGTCCATGTCCCCATCTGGTGAGACACACTGGGCCCTGGAAGCATTTCAGCTTCAAGAGCTGCTGCTCCATTGTCCCACAGGTCCTCGTGGACCACTGCAGTTACATCATGGACCATAATGCTGATAGCCTGGGCACACGTGTGACCCTGGCTCCTTGGGATGTGCACAGTCCAGGTGGCCCCAGGACAGCAATCACAGAATCTCCTGTGCTGTCCCGAGCATGCCTGTCTAACGTGACCTGATCAGACATAAGCAGGCTGTTTCTACCTGCAGCAACACCAGGCTCTACAATGGCAACACCAGGCTCTACAATATGTGTATTTCAGCCTGGCTTTGACTCTGGGAGCCATCCTGGGGTTTGAGTGTGCCTTACAGCTCTGGTTTAGCACAATCACAGCCCAAAACATCAGCTCAACATTTTACCAGCACCTTCTGGGTAACAAATGCATCCTCTTTTGCATCCATTCCACTACATGGGGACACTGGTGCCTTGGGGAGCACCTTGGCATAGGTTTGCATCGACCGACCATGAGGTGCACATGCTTGTGAAACTGGGCAGAGGTCTGCTGGGGTCTGGGCTCATGCAGTAGTGTTGGGACACTCGCGCTGAAAGCCAGAGGAGGAGGCTTTGTACCCCGGGCTGGCAGCAGCATCTGGAGCTTTGAACTCTGGCCAGGACATTGGCACCACTTTGAGGCGGGCAGAGGCCTTCTGTGCTGCACCATGTTGTAGGACATGAACCCTGCATTGCACCCACCAGCATGCACACCTCACTGCAGCACCTGCCAACATCTCCGTAGAGCCTGACATCCTGCACTGCACAGATTGCGTGGGACACAACCTGATCCCTGTCCGGTGCTTTGGCTGGGACACGAGAACTGCACTTGAGCGGACACTGGTTTCACATGCTGCGCTCCAGAGTGGTGCTGCACAAGGGATTGCTCCTCAGAGGACCACAGCATGGAGGAAGTTTGCATGCTATGGCAGAAGATGCTGTTCCTCTGCAACATGAGAGGATGCTACACCTCATAGCTCCTGGGAAAAGAGAAGGGATGTCCTGCTAGGCAAGGGCAGAGCTCTCTACCCCTCATGCCATGCTCCAGAGGAAGCTGGTGCTTTGATCTGGCATCCAGAGGTCCTGCTGCCCATGGGGACATTGAGACCGCACAGCAGTGCTGCAGGACACTAGTACACTGCAAATCTCCACAACAACATGGCACTGCGAGGCTGTCAGCACCCTGCACAACCCTCCAAAAGCTGCTGCCAGGGGTCCATCACTCTGCAGTGTACAGCAGCGTGGCTGGTCCCTGGCCCACTGTGCTAACCTAAGACTCATTCACTTGCAAAATACATGCTATGCATGGCAGGATGGGGACAGCACACCTGCACGCCAGAGCTGCTCACCAGCATACAGCGCCCTGCACTGCGCTCCAGCAAACCTTGGCACAACATACTGTGCCATGGCAATCGTCACGCAGCCCATGCAACACCTGGGAGGATGCCAGCACCCTGCAAGACCCTGAAGAGGACCCCAGAGCACTCTGCTGTGTCCCAGAAGATTTCTGCATTGTGCACCACACTCTGCCATGCCCGAGCATGGCAGCAGCCCGTTCACAGTGGAAAGCCACAGACAAAGGTGGGAGAGGGAGCAGGGGAGGGTCAGTGGCAGAGCTGGGTGCTGACTCAGTTGTTCTGGCACAGCTGTGCCACCGAGCACCCGGCACAGGGAGGGAGGTGCCGGGCAGGGAGGGAGCACGCAGGTTTTGGCCCCGGCGCGCATGGAGCCAGGCTGGCGGGGGGCCAGCACGTTGCCGAGACAAGCAGCGCTGTGGGAAACAGGGAGTGCCTCCATACCCCCACCCTGGGCGCTGCCAGCCCCAGGGGACAGGCAGAACGGCTGCAGCGCCTCTGCACTGCACCGGGCACCGGCACTGGCAGGGCCCTGCCCTTGCCTGCCAGGAAGGTTTTGAGGATGGATCTTCAGAGCCTGGGAGAAGAGAATTTTTTTTTTCCAAGCCAGGTGTACCTTTCTGCCCCAAGCCATGCCCCCAGGGCCATGCATCAGTCAGGGTGGAAATGTCACTTGTTGGACCTTCACTCAGCCACCCTCCTGGGATTTCATGTGTCAGCACTGCCACCCTCCCCTGCTCTCCCCTTTTGTCCCACTAAGGGATCAGGATTATCCTTCCACACCTTGTTTTTGAGGAGACAGGTGATAGGGGGCTGGTTGCCCTCCATTTGCTGCCTCACTGAAGCTGAGGCTTCCCAGAGCCTTGCTCCCCAAAATCTGATGGCACATGTTGAAGTAGGCAAAATAAATTGTCATCCAACAGGAAGCACAAGGGAGAAAGCTACAGGATGCCCCCACATCACTGGGTCTGGGATAGGGGGGACAGGCAGCCTCAGCAAGAGGGAAGACAAAACGTCTTGCCAAGGGACAAGAAGCCTTTGAAGATCCACCACCTTATGCATCCATCCCTTCCCCACTGCTCTGGGAAATGCCTCACGGATGCTGTTTAACAACAGCACGGGACAGCTTGCCCCAGGAAATGGTCATGCAAACCTAGTGTCTTCTGCTGGCTGATAGTCCGGATCCATGCACCAGGAACACTCAGGATTGCATGTGGGAGCATGCTACAGAGATGTCTACAGCTAGATGAAAGAGATCTGCACCCCTTAAAGGACAGATAAATGGTCTCTCCACACTGACTCATCTCAAGTCTTCATTCCATGCTGTCAGAAACACACAGAGGAGGAAAACACAGTTGGTTTGAGCCCTTTAGGAAGAGGTGGAAATAGGAATGAAAATGGCCTGGAGAAAGGGTTTGTGACTCATCCATGGACTAAGGGGCTTGGGAGCAGTGCCCCTATCCATGCTGTCCCACAGGGCCAACCCTGACACAGAGAGGAGCGAGGGGGGCTCTGGTACAGCAAAAGCAGGAACTAAAGTGGCCATAACTAGGATTGCCCCAAACTGCAGCAAGAAAAACAGGTCAGACCACTGAAGTCTGTTGCAAAAACTCCCAAGGACTGCACGTGTGAGATGCTGTGAGGCAAGGGGACATGCCAGTCAGGATGCACTGGATGGTTGCTGCAACCTGTTGCACTGCGCTTGCTCAGTTGAGCTCTGCAGGGACTGTCCTGTGCCTGTTTCCTCTGGGCTCAGAGCTTCAGGATGGAGACGACACCCTCACCCCCTCACCATTCTCTTTATTTACAGACACAACATCAACTGGGGGTGCGGAGATGAGAAACAGCACCTCATGAAGCGTCTGCCCACCCAGACAGCGCTGTGCCTACAGCAAGGTCTTTGCTCTGTGCAGTGGGAGGGCGGGTGGGCATGTGGTGCAGGCTCCATGAGGTGAGGAAGCCAGATGGTCGACCAAAAGGCAGTACATCTCTCTGTGGCTGAGCCTCCTTTGCCTTCTGAGTCATCTATTTCCACCGACCGCCCACCATGGTCTTCCCACGGGCAGCCTTTGACCTGGAAGGGAATCAGAAAAGCACGTGCAAAAAGGTGTTAGTGGCCATGAAAGGAAGGAGAAGGTGGGTGCCATCGGAGGACAATCAGAGGCCCTGCAAAGAGGAGCGAGCCATCTCTGGTTGATGCTCACTGCCCCGTGAGGAAGAAGGTCTTCGGTGGCCCCAGGTAAAAGCTTGGGACCTGAGTCAGTCTGTGTGTTTTGGGACTCTATGGGAACAAGCTCATGCATTTTGCCAGGTGTTTCTAAGGAGCTCCAATTCCCTTCCCATGTTCCTCCCTCCCAGGGATCCTTCAGAGAAGAATCATCAAATTGGATCTCCAGCCATGGAGGGATAAAGACAGCTGCAGGAACCTTTTCCCAGGAACCAGAAGCTGTGAAGCTGTTAGCCAGGACCCACCACGTCGCTCTCCTTAACCAGCATCAGGGGAACAGGCACTGCTCTGGCCATGGGTCTGCAGAGAGGAGGAGGTGGAGGAGGAAGAGGAGGAGGAGGCAGCTGGTGTGGACAATGAAGGGCATTTCTGGCATGTCATCCTGAGAGTCACCAGCCGAGCTTTGGCTGCCAATCCTTGGCGTTGTCTCCTCCATCAGCCCTACTGCTAGCCTGATGTCAGCCCCAGTGTCCATGCAGCACACGTGCGGTGGAAGACACACGGCACTCAGGAAACACCTGTACTCACCCTTTGCTGCAGTAACAGGCCATGTTGGGGCAGAAGAGAAGAGAAATTTGGTGTAAGCGGGTGGGGGATGCTGCTGACTGTCATACGGGGCGGGCTGAGCAACTCTCATGTGAGACAGCAGGGCAGGACAGGGGTGCGAGAGCAGCATGGTGCTCCCAAGGGTGGGGTTTAAACACCCACCTCCACCCTCCTACGAAAGGTCCCCCAGTCCTGTGCAGGGGACATGGGCACAGGGACAGGCTCCCCTGTCCTTGTGGGGCTGCACAGCTCCCACAGCCTGTGGGATTTCCCCTCCTACACAAGCTGGGATCTCCAGCACCTTCTCTGAAATGCTGGGCAGAGCCACTGCAGGGATGGGGGTGGCTGGAGGCTGGCAGGACCCCACAGGACACAAGGTTCCACATGCAGAGGTGGGGTGTCCCAGCTGGGGTCTCTGGGGCAGGGAGAAGCTGGTGGAAGTGGGAGGCAATGGGGGTCTGTCACTGGGAGGTGAGCAGCATGGATGAGGTCCTGGGGTCAGACTGTCAGGGCCGTGAACACTGGGCACCAGTGGGACCAGGGGCAGGAGTGGGAAGGACAGGAGGTGGCTCTGCGAGGGTGCAAGAGAGCTGAGACACACAGGGAGGGAACTGGGGCCAGGGGGAGCAAGGAGCTGGAAGGGCAGGAGGCATCGAGGAAGGATGGCTCAGCCTGCCCAGGGACTTACACTTTCTGGTGGTCACTAACGCGGTTTCGGAGGACATTGATCTGCAAGAGAAATGCAGGCAGATGATGAGGGCTGGCAGGATGCCCCATGCCCAGTCAGGGACGAGGGCTGGGGCGAAGGTGTATCACTGCTCTCTCTTCCCCAGCGGCTCTTGCATGGGCTTTAGCACGGGGCTGTGATGTGCAGCACAGCACATGTCCCCAGGAGCTGGAAGGTCACAGGGACACCATGCAGACCCTTTCAGCAGCTGCCACATCCTCCAGCATTTCATAGCTCAGCCGTGCCAGGGTGGCCAACAACTGCTGGGAGGGTTGGTTTGATCCTGGCTCATCTCCAAAAGGGAGGCAGATGTGGCTTTGCTTTCAGTGGTGCAGAGCCTCTTGGGTGTTTGCCACCCCATGCGCAAGGGGGACACAGTCCTTTTCTGGTGCAGCCAGCTTTCCTGCGACAGCACTGTCAGTCACCTTGTCTCCCAAATGGGGAGCAGAAGGAGCAGCCAGGCACATGGAGGGTGAGCAAGCTCATGGAGGACCTCATGGCTCACCTCATATTTCTGCCGCTTGAACTTTTCCTGCAGGTCAAATTTCTCAGCCTCCAGATCACGGATGGTTTGCCATAGCTCCTTGGCCTTGTCCCTGTGGGAAGAGCCGGCTGGTGTCACTGCGGAAAAGGGATGTGGCTCACAGGGAGCTCACTGCAGGGGACAGGGCAGTGAAGCCACCATCTCACCTGCTCCCCCAGGATGGGTCTCTGCAGGCTCCATGCCCAGCCGAGGATGCATTGGTCAGTCCCACACAGGGACCAAATGCATGGGTGGGAGTTTGGGACACACGGGGACATGGATGTCCCACGCATGTGAGCATGGCTCCCTCCGATGGCCGGCATTGTCAGCAGCAGCCTGGCAGTGGTGGCCCGGCAGAGCCACGGAGCCCATGTTCCCGGTGGGGTGTCACAGCCCAGCTCCCAGCTGTGCTATCACCCTCTTGTCTGGGCTGCAAGCCCCAGGCAGCCTGCCCTGGCCCAGGATCCTGCCCCAGAAGGTGGGACCCAAAGCAAAGCCCCTGGCCTGGACATCCCTCCTGCAGCCTGTGCTCACCTCAGCTTGTCTTCGTTGAGGTGGTCGATGTTCAGGGGCTTCCGCCGTTCGCTGAGGATCTTCTTCTTCTTTTCCCGCTCTGTTTGTTTCTTCCCACCCTTTTTCTCTGACTGAGGAAAACTTCAGTCCATTGGAGGGAAGGAAATCTGCCCAGCTTTTGCTCTACCCCTATCCCCAGCTCTGCCCGCAACACCCTCTGTTTTTGGGACTCCAGAAGAACATCAGGTCCTCAAGGAAATTTTGGCAATAGTGGACAAGACACCCCCCCACCTCCATCACTGTCCCTGAGGCAAGGGTGGACCCTCCCGGCCAGAATGTGCAAAGCAGAGCTCTCAGCTCACTTTGGCCCTCTGACCACTGCTGTGACCCAGCTGTGGTGGCCTGTCTTCTTCCACTTGTATAAACCAGTCTACCAGCACTGGGACTGTGCACGGTGCCGTGGGGCCAGCCCACTGTCAAGCTCCTCCCAGGACCACCAGCAGCTTCATTGCAACCACCTGGGGTAGGATCACACCTTCTGCATGTAACCTCCAAAATGTAACATGTTGGAGAAAGCTTTCTTCTTCCGTGCTTCCTCCTCAGCCTTCTTCCGTGCCTCCTCTTCCTCTTTGCGAGCTCTTTCTTCCTGCCAGGGTCAAAAGTGGGTCAGGAGCAGATGGATGGAGACCTCAAGGACTGGCTTGCGTGCAACACACAGCTTGTGCTCCCATGTGCTCCATGGCCAGGCTGGTGCTACCTAAGACCAGCATAAGCACCCCAGCCCCGGAGGGAGACTCACGGCCATGCGGGCTTGCCGCTCCTTCTCCCGCTCGCTGCGAATCCGTTGCTGCTCTGCCCTTTCCGCTCGCCGCTGTTCCTGCAGGAGGAAAGGACTTTGGCTTGGACACCCCAAGGAATCTGCACCCTCCCTGTCCCTAGAGACACATCCCTGACCTCAAAAGCCCTGAGAGCCCCAAGGGCAGATCTTCTGCTCCCATGTCTCCCAGGAGAACACGTGGACCAGAGCCCACAGGGGAAGGTGCATCTCTGTTAGGCGCCACAGCATCGCAGCAGCCAGACTAAGGGCTTCCCAGCCAGTGGGGTACAAAATCTGGCTCAAATCTCAGTCTCTGTCTTGCAGGGACACTGGATGTCTCAGGTCTTACGGTCGGGACTGTGGCGAAAGGATCATGGCTGTTTCCCACAGGGGAGAGGGTGGCAATAGCAGTAGAGGGGGAGGGCTGCAGACATACAATCCTGTCCTTGAGGGAGATAAGCTCCTCTTCCTCCTTCTTCCTGCTCTCAAAGTGGGCTTCGATGAGGGCCTGCAGCTCATTCAGGTCCTTCTCCATGCGCTTGCGGTGGATGTCCTGCACCAGATAGAAACAGCAGCGATGGCTACACTCACACAAGTGAAGCCCAGGAGCTGCAGAGCTGCTGGGCACGGCGTGGAGGAGCAATGCAAGGGGAGCACCTCGCAGGGGTTGGCTTTGAGTGCACTACTCACATCAAAATCCAGTCTCTCGCCATCTGGGATTTTGGGAGGCACCAGGTTTGGCATGAAGACCCTGCAGTCGAAGGCGAGCAGGAGGATAGTGAGTGTGCAAGCAGATACTGACAGGCACGGTGCCTTTCATCCATGCACTGATCTACCCAGCCCTCCTCTCTGAATCTTGCAGTCCCCAGGGATGCAGAGTGAGAACATTTTGAGGACAGGGAAGTGTAATGCTGCTTGCTGGAGGTTGCCAGCTGGACAGCCGCAGAGGAAGACCTCTGGCATTCCGGGGAAGCACTCCAAGGTACCCGCATGGCTGGAATAACTCTGCAAGCTGCAGCAACTTGGCCGTGACCCTTTGCCAGGCACCCTGGGGCTGGCAGCCACCCCACTGCTCACCCAAAAGAGCACATAGGAACTGTGTGCTCCAGTGTGATCTGGCACAGGGAGATGGAAACCATCTTCTCATCCTCTGTGGGCTTGAGGGAGGGCAAGAGATGCTCAGATGCTCATAAAGACACAAAGGGATGAAGATATTGCGGCTGAGGACAGATCTGCCTCCCAGACCGCAGCATCCCAGGGGTCCATGAGGACCCGCAGGTTCCTGGCAATGGTTCACAGCCCTGGTCCTTCAGGCAAGTGCTCCTATCCCGGGGATGCTGGCACTCATGCAAATGCCTGCCTCATGCCAGCCATGGCCAGGAACATACTGCAGAAGCGAGATCCTGGCTGTGCCATAGACCATGTACCCCAGGCTGGGGTGCACACAGATGTTTCCAGCTGCAGGGCCACAGGGCAACTGGGCCTCCTCCAAGGAGCACACAAAATGCTTCAAGACCTCATTCTCAGGATCCTCTTCATATTCTATGTTTATCTGCCTGTTTCTGTCCCTCTTTCTCTCCATGTCCCAGTCCCCACCCTGCTCTCATGCTTTTGAGGCCTCACTGTCCCATGCCCTTTATGGATCATGGTGCTAAGCCCATCACACAGAGCCTCTGTCCTGGCATAGCTCCTAGTTCAGACCTTGCACCACAGAAAATGCACCAACACTTACTTGGGCTTTGGCTTCAATTCACCTGTGGGTCCCCAGGAGCAGGAGAGAAAGAAAACACTAGTGTCACAGAGGCATTTGCTTTCACACCTTGACCCAAAACCCACAACACTGAGCCAAGCTACCCCTCTCTGCCAGCAGCACAGGCTTCTTTGCATCCTCCAGCAAAGCAGCATGCAGTGTACCACAAAACCTGAGACATACATTGATGCTCCTGGCTGAGCAGAAAGGTGTTTGGTACCTCCTTATACAGGCAAAGGGACAGTCCCTCCCGCCCCAGAGAGGAACGAGGATGGATACTTCACCTTCCCCAGGCTCCTGCTCTCGGTCCCCCTCTCCACCTGTGGAAAACATGATGCTTTGGCCAGCCCTGCTGTGCACCGTGCCCGCCAACAGAGCAGTGTGGTTCAGCCAGGCTGCTCCCCTCTTCCCCATGCTTATTTTCCCTGCAAAATCCAGCTCCATCCCTCCAGGATGAACAGGGAGAGAGTGGGTCCCTCCTGGACATCCCTCACCCACAGACAGACCAGACGAGCCCCAGGTCCTCTCCAGGAGGAATGCAGACAGCTTTGCTCAGGCTGGGAAAGCAGTAGTACTACCTTCTCCTTCTGTATTTTGGGTGAATTTCTTACCTAGTCAGCACAAAGCCATCCCTCCTGCAGGCCTCCCGGTGCCCCAACCCTGGCAGAGGACAAGGCCAGGGCAGCTCTGCCCCATTTACTGCAGATTCTCTCTCTTCAGCAGCAAATCAATTCAACACTGAAAACCCCAGTGGGGCCAGTGTCTTGGGGGACTGGGAGCAGGACTGAAAAAGCCAAAACCACCCCTCCTCCAT